TTTTTATCTTGCCTATGTTCAATGTTTAAACTCTTTTTCACCTGACAGAATTAGTTTTCATTGTTCGTCTAGTTTGACATGTTTCATTTCAAAGCACTTTTTCGAAAGGCGCTTAACTAATTAAATTAATACAGTTATTCCAGTTTGAGTTATAAAAGATGCAGAGCATGAAAACAACAAGCTCACACAGGTTCTACAAATCCCATTTTAAACGCCTCCACCCGTCATCTTTACATCTCACATCAACTGAAAGTGATGGGTCCTGCCTTGTGATGTCTCTTTATCGAATGCAGCACTAAAAGCCATGAAGCAAAAGACAAAAGCAAACTGTTTGGAAAACGAGATCACATGTGATCGAAGTGTCGCCACTGCAGTGACCGAGGCGACACAGAGACAGAACACAGGCTGAAGTTAAACCTTAAACTACAAGGGACGGAGAGAACCATGTAGCCACGACTTCTTCTTTCAAATTTGAGGAACATCACTTCGTCTTTTTATTTTAAAGCATCTGCAGCTGGTAAATAATTCCTCACACCTTTAACTGAGAAGTCCTTTCACACTTTTTAAAAAGTTCAAGCAAAGTTCATCACAAGCTTGAAGTGAAACTCCCCGATTTCACCAGCAGAATGCTCAGAGATACGATCATTTCAAAGTCAAAATGTGGTTCCATTAATAAATACTTGATTTCATAAGTGATTGTCCCTGATGTTTCCACAGTCCTCTGACTACAAACATCCAGTGTCCAAAGTGTCCAAAGTGTCCAAAGTGAAGATGACAGAACACCAGGTAAAAGAAAATCAGGTCAAATGAAGCAAGAACTGACCAAACCACCAGATAAAAACAACATTTCTGGTTTCTGTAGGCTTCTATGACAGTAAACTGAATACCTTCACTGATATTCAGTAAAAAGAAGAAACTTCAGGAAAATCTGACGGCTATTTTTCATCTTTTGACCTTTTCTGTAAAATGCATCGATAACACAACCAACAGACTAATAGACCATGAAAACACTCTTTAGTTGCAGCACCATTGTGCACTTTCAATTCAAGCTTTCGTAAACTGCAGTTTCTGCTGCTGTATTGAACGTACACACAGACCTGAACATTGGACGGACCTGAAAGACTTCTTGAGGACGGGCAACACTTGGACACTCGTCCTGTTGGGAAAGTTTCCCAGTTAATCCAAGGAGGAGAGTCTTTTCTCTGCTACAAGAGAAATACATCAAACCCACGTTAGTCAC